CGCCTGGAGCCACCGCGGTTGGTTCGAATAATGTGAATGCAACCTGGGTTCAAATCTCGCCCTTGACCGAAGTGGGAATGGAAGCAATTAATGATGGGGGTGGGAGAAAAGCGAAGAAAAATTGGGAAGCCCCAGTCTCTCAATCTGTTTGTTGTTGTTGTTGTCTCTCTTGTTACATCTGTTCTGAGTTTAATGGGTCACTGATCAATTTTCTATTGAGGGATATCTCCTGGGCATGATACTCATTCTAACCTTGTTTTGAAGGTTTCAAGCCTAGACTCAAGGGAGCAAGTGGTACAAAATATCTACTCAACTAGAACATTAATCAGAACTACAGAGAAAAATAGACGTTGGACAGTCACAGCACCACTGAAGGGGCGGGCCTTCACCCTTCCCACTAAATCTTTAAATTACCGGAGTCACCCATCCTTAGGGCCGCTCTGGTATGCGCACCACCGGCCCGCATGGACCAGCCAATTTGGCAAATTGCAGGGAAAAAAAACAAAGGCAAAAGAGACTATTCAAGTCCTAACGTACGAAGCATGCCTACCACCGCATGAATGCCTTGTCCTATCCTGTCTTGTCTTTCCCAGCCACGCATTCAAAGCTTGTCATACGAGGCAGTACATCCGACCAGTCTAGCCTTTCATAGCCGTCAGGCACGCCACTCCGAAGAAGAACAACAACTGACGGGTTCGACCGACAGACAAGCTGGTGATATGGAAGATACTGTAGCAACGGCAATGCTTAACCGATAGCAAGCCTCATATACTCCCACATCCTGCTCGTCCACGTAACAAACCACCTAAAGACGCATCATCCATCCATCCCAACCCTCACAGTCGATACCTGACGTAAGATCATGACGAGCCCTTCGGCACCACCGCACAATAGAACGTGATTCGACCCCTGCATGGCTCATAAGAACTTCTACGCACCTTTCATTCTCGGTCTCCTTCCGGAGTAGAGCCGATCCGGAAAAATAATTAACATCAACCATAAATAAAAGAGGGACAATCCTAGTTAGTAAATAGTATAGTTGACCTGCAAGATGCCAAGAGCACAGTTGCTGTCTGGTCTTGTTCCTACACGAGCAAAGCGTACGTATGCAACCGATGCGAGGTGTGCATGGACTTGGGAAGTGTCGATCAATCCTTTTCTTTATTATTTTCTTTCTTTCTTCTTTTACTTTTTCTCCTTTCATATTAACTTTTCCCCGGCCCTCCATTTAAGACATGGCACTAGGCCAGACCAGTCTACCGTAAGGTACAGCGGTATCAGGGGTCTCAAATCTCCGGCCTCCAAGAGGGTCGGATACGGACATTTTACTTAATTACCACCCGCGTGATGCAAGGGAAATACAGTAGGGCTTCGCACACGTACTCCATACCTATCAACTGGGCAATTATGAACACACTGAATTCATACTCGACTCAACTCTACCTCTCCCTCGTCCAGGGATGAACATGACGCATGGCAGGGCACAAGGGTTAAAAGATGGAAAACATCCCCGTAGTATCTAGGCGAGGCTAAGAATTCTCTCTAACCCTGCCAATGCTCAACCGCCCCTCTCTCCATCCCGCCCTTGTCTCAATCTCAACCCTCGGACGCCATCTCTCCATTTTCCCCCGTTAATTCGGTCGAGATTGAGACCCTCCACTCCAATTGGTGGGGGCGCCACCCAAATTGAGCATTGAATAAATACTACTGCTACTAATTTATAATGAGAAATCAATCAATAAGTAGTAGATGGCGCCAGCCTTTGAACTGAGATGTCCTTTCGGTGAAAACTCACATACACGTTACATAACAGGGTCCATGGTCCGGAGTTTTATTTTCTTTGTGGTCGCTAAAATTGCCTGTCTTTACCCCCGTGAAGGCAGGGGAAAAGAAGAAACGAAAAAGAAAAAGACCTATCGTTCTCGGGGTTACGGGGTAAGGCTGGAAGCGGTGGTTGGGTTACGTTGCTTTTCCTCATTATTGACTATTATTGCCCATCAATTCCCCTGTCTTTAGACTAACTAGACCTAGACTGAGCACAGTTAAATGCTACGGAAGTACTTAGAAAAGGACTTGTCATCCTCATGCTTGCACCTATAGATACCTACTACTAATAGATCTTCGTATTCATACCCACTTGGAGCATCCATCATCTCCATGCCCGTTGTTATTTCCATGTCCATTGAATAATGCCTCACTAATCACTATTGGATATTGATCGCTTTTGCTCTCAGATCCATCCTACCCAAACAATCTGAACCACTTCAGAGGAGTACTTACGTCTACCCTCCATGTCACCGTGATATGTCTTACATTCAAACCAGTCAGAAGGCCTAACCTGTGTGCCGTTGTGTTGTCCGTGTCTTGCTTTAGACATGCGCTTGTTTCTCTTCCTTCCCAACTAATCAACCCATCAACTTACCCCACCATATCCTTCCTCGTTTACGAACTGCTAATTCAAGTGAATTCCCCCTATTGGACATGTTCTTGACTTCCCGTCTTGGACGACTCGGTTAGCTGGTATAAGCCAAGACGGGTTGAGGGTTTGCGACACAGCACCTTAAATAGAACCGAATGGAAAGTCCAAAATTGAGAACCGGGGTGTGTCAGGCAAGAGGGGTTCAAATTGCCTCAACCACTTTCCAGAATTATCATGATGAGCATACCGCTGCGATGGGATGATTGACAACACTATAAAATGCATGTTGAATATCATTCGCCCACTAACAATTCAATGATCTACTGACTCTTGCGTGGCCTGTCTCTTGTCACCTGCAGGACTAACCCGGATGGATGACTGAACTAAGAAAGTGAAGGCCGATGACACCTGCCACGAGTTTGAAGACTACTTCCTGCTTTTACTCAATACCTGCTGTGTCCAGTTATCCCAGACTGCACAACTAACTACTTACCCTACCAGCAAGCAACATTAACATAGCATCAACTGTCAACTATGTCTACACCGAGTACCCTCCCCCATTGTCCTGCCGCGTCATCCCGCGCAAACTCCTATTGAAATGGGAAGGGGAGAACCTAAAGTCTACAATATCCACCTCCGGACATAATTCCCGAACCCATCCTTGAAAACGCTCAAGAGATGATGAGGTTGATGACAATATCGATGGATGGACGCGTCGACATGTACACGACGACTACTTCACACACACGCTTTTACTTACATACCATCTTCCTGTGCCGTGCAGCGCAGCGCAAGCTCATGAATGATTGAATGCATCATTTCGCTCCATCCATCACACCCACTTCTCTTGGACTCCGGGGCTAGACCGAGCCGTTCGCCGGACGGACAACATTCCAATTAACATGACGGATAATGGTCCGCGGAAGCCGGGGGCGCGAAGAACGTTGTTAATCTTACGGAAGAATTCTCCATGGCAGGGTCGGATATGCTGGATGACAGTGATGGATGCGATGGTAGTATACGCGTTGCAGGTGGGTATTGGGCGTTGCGTGGGCGGTTCTGGACTATCCCACTTTCTTGCCCATGGCGTAGAGCATATCTGCACGTAGGTAGGACTGTAGAGCTTGAGGTATTTGTAGTCACAGTGAAGACTGGTGTATGAGTGGTAGGCATTGTGTAGGCATAAACCTACCCCACTAAGTATTCTGTTCATGCCAGCATCTTATCTGCTCCCACCACTTTCCATCGCTGCTCAATAACAGCTTGATTGAACCAGCCATAGATGCTCAGAGACTATACCATGCTCGCCCTTATAGCACCCTGATATACCACATTTATACCGGTAGATCACCAAACCGAACAAGCACACTGCCTGATATCAAGCTCTCTGAACCAACCAACACCCAATCAAGTACACACCAAGACAAACCATCATAAACAATCATATCAAATCAATCAAAGATCTTTTTCATTCCAAATCCCATCAATTTATCAATCACAAACGTACAACTATAATACACCCTTCCCACACCCAATAAACCCAACCAACCAACCAACCCAATCCCCTCAACTCATTCCTTACCAGGAACAGGAACCTCCCCCTTCATCCAATCCGCAAACTCCTTTCTCTTCGCCTAGAACCCCAACACATCAGCATAAGCTCAATATCCCCAATCCTCCAGGCACGAAAGAAGGATAGGTTCAAACTCACCCTAACATCCCAAAACCCATACCGTTCCTCCAACCTCCGATACGGATTCCTCCCGCCACCTTCGCGCTCAATCTGACCCGCCCATTCACTCCAACTAATCGGCTTGAGCTTTTCTGCGCCGAGGACAAGTCCCGCCGAGACAAGGACTAGTGATGCGAGGGCTTCGATGACGATGTCGAGCGGGAGGGCGGTGCCGCCGCTTGCTGTGCTTGCGGTGTTGCTGTACAGGATGGTGTGTTCGTGGGCGGAGTAGCCTCTATAGTATTTATATGTGTGTGTCTTGTTAGTGATCCGATATGATGTGGTGTAGTGCGGAGGGAACAATGTAGGTAGGATGTGTTCAACGTACGCATGGGCGAGCAGGACGAGGCCGAAGAGTGTGATAATGCGGGAGATGAATCCCATTTTGATTTCTTTCGTCTGTAACAATCTCTTTTGAGATAATTCAGAAAGTAATGGGTGTTAGGAAAGGTATTGGTTTCGGAGTGGTGGACGGGGACTGTGGTCGAGATTGGCTCGCTCGTGAGCTTTGGAGTCCGGCCGGTCTATCAGTAGTAGCTTACCTAGTAGTTGGTGGTTAGTTAGCTAGCTGTATGTGGTAATCTGCGCAACTGATTTCTACGGTAGACGAATGGAACCTCTTCTGCACTTGGCAAAGAATTTCAGGTCCGGCCACCCCGCCAAAAGCCCAACCGGGTTTTGATTGAATTGGGCAGCATTTCATTTGTTCAGTTCATCCCACTTGGTGTGGTTTCTGCTATAAGGAGTGGTAAAACTACTAATCTACGAAAATATCGGCTACATCGGCACCAGTAGTGTATTAATTGGGTATTTTTGATTTTTAGTATTCGTTATGCCGAGGGGTGTCCCCAGTCGGCTTGGGTTATTCAAGTTCATGACAGTATATTTCCGTGGGATAGCATAAGAAAATCCATCATCACGCCATTTATCTTCATCATTAAACAACGTTCCGCTTACAGCTTCTGCATGGCAGCAACATCGGTGGACTGGACGTGGTCCTCGTCCTCCTCGATCTGAGCCTGGAGCTCGTCGAGGGAGACCTTCTCGTCCTCGACGACAAGGTTGATCTGGAGCTTCTTGATACCGAAACCAACGGTAACGAACTTGGAGGCACCCCAGACGAGACCGTCGATCTCGATGGCACGGACGTTGGCCTCCATCTCCTCAAGGTTGGTCTCATCATCTGTGACTGGTTAGAATCATACACAATTAATGCGATATATGGAGATGAAACATACCCCAGGGCTTAACCTCGAGAGTCACCAGGGACTTGGCAACGGGCTTGGGCTTGGCCTCCTTCTTCTTGCGGTACTCAGCAAGGCGAGCCTCACGCTCCTTGACGACCTCCGGGTCCTCCTCCTCCTCATCGGAGCCGAAGAGGTCCATGTCGTCGTCGTCGTTGGCAGCCTTGGGGTTGGTGGGCAGCTCAGTGGACTCAGGGCCGTAGGCAGTGTAGGGCTTGGAGGCATCGCCAGGGAGGGAGGCGTGCTCAGCCTCGAAAGAGGCGATGTTCTTGTACCAGCGAGCAGCGTGGGGGTACTTCTCGGCGTCAGGAGCACCGGAGAAGGCCTTGAAGGTCACGACATCGGCCTGGGAGGGAGCATCGCTATAATCCAGTTAGCTTTATGCCACCATCATCGCTAGCGAAGGTATTCATGAATGACGGAAAACGGAAAGCAAAGAAGAATTTTTCCAAGTAATCAGAAGCGCGATTTCTCGCATTGTGTTTAATCTTGCAGCGGGGTCTTAAGCCGCCTCATAAACACGGACCAATTTCTTTTCATCATGCAAACAAGGAAGAATCTTTCAAAAGGCACCAATGCAAAGGGGGAGGGGGGAAGGATCCCTAAAGGTGTGCCTTACCCAACAATGTAGCTCCTGGTAGCCAGGTAGTTGTTGGCAACTGAGGGGTACCATTAGTTACTGCTGAGAGCAGATTGGAAAGGGAAATGATGAAAAAGAAAGGGAAAGTGCGAACATACGGGTAAGGCCGGCTTCGGAGGCAAGATCAGTGAAACCCATTGTGAATGTGTGTTTGGGGGATGTGTGTGGTGAGTAGAAGGAAAGGAGAAGAAAAGGAGGAATAAATAGGAGGGGAAAGGTGTTCTGAAGTATTTTTTCAGCGGAGGGTCCGAGTAGTGAAATTTTTCGGCGGCACCAACTGAGCCCCTCATTCCGGCCGGTCATGTGACCCCACGGTGACGGAGCTAGCTGGCCCTTTTGGGGGAGCTTCCGCCACTCATCGTTCGCCGTGCGGTGGAGCCTTCGAGAAGCCTCGCGACGCCTGTGAGGCAATCGGCTGGCCGCCTGTCCCGGCGAGGTATATAGGTCTCCCCAGCTATATCGGGAGCTGGTTTGAAGATCTGCAGTGTTGTACCTTTTGCTTTCACACCCAACTGTGCACACGGTCGGCTGTTTTATCATGTCGTCAAGGTTACAACTCGCTCGGGGTCGACTTCTCCGACCATCCTCCCTACCGTCATCGAACCGCCTTCTTCAACCTTCTCAGACATTGCGTCTACTTGCGCCCACCCGGATCACGAATGTCGCCCGGCTCCCGTCCGTCTTGCCTGTACGCACTTATGCCAATGGTCGCCCTCATCCTCCCGGAGGTACCCATCGCATGAACCTTGGTGGTGAACCAGAAAAGTCGGCCTTGGAACAATTCGGTGTCGACCTCACAGCCAGGGCTAAGGCAGGCAAGTTGGACCCGGTCATTGGACGTGATGCCGAAATCCATCGCACCATTCAGGTTCTCTCCAGACGAACCAAAAACAACCCCGTTCTGATCGGAGCTGCGGGTACCGGAAAGACTGCTGTCTTGGAGGGTTTGGCGCAGAGAATTGTTCAAGGAGACGTTCCCGAGAGCATTAAGGACAAACGTGTTATTTCTCTGGATCTGGGGTCTCTCATTGCTGGTGCTAAATTCAGAGGTGACTTCGAAGAACGGTTGAAATCTGTCCTTAAGGAGGTCGAGGATGCGCAAGGGGGTGTGATCCTCTTCATTGACGAGCTTCATACCTTGCTTGGCTTGGGAAAGGCCGAAGGCAGTATCGACGCCAGCAACCTTCTGAAACCGGCATTGTCTCGCGGTGAGCTACAATGCTGTGGTGCTACGACTTTGAACGAATACAGATTGATTGAGAAGGACGTGGCTTTGGCTAGACGATTCCAGCCTATACAGGTCGGGGAGCCCTCGGTTGCCGCTACCATATCCATTCTGCGTGGTATCAAGAACAAGTATGAAGTGCACCATGGTGTTCGGATCACGGATGGTGCTTTGGTGGCGGCAGCAACTTACAGCAACCGATACATCACCGACCGATTCCTTCCCGACAAGGCTATCGATCTGGTCGACGAAGCGGCGTCCGCCTTACGACTACAGCAGGAGTCAAAGCCCGATGTGATCAGAGAGCTTGATCGTGATATAACTACCATTCAAATTGAGCTGGAGTCACTTCGCAAGGAGACCGATGTCAGTAGCCGCGAAAGAAGAGACAAACTACAGGAAGATCTGAAGGTTAAACAAGAAGAAGCGAGAAAATTGACCGAGGTATGGGAGAAGGAGAAATCGGAAATCGAAGAGCTCAAGCGTGCCAAAGAGGAGCTGGAGCGTGCTCGCTTCGAGTTGGAGAAAGCTCAAAGAGAAGGAGACTTTGCAAAGGCGGGTGAACTGAGATATGCCACCATTCCTACTCTCGAAGCCAAACTTCCCAAAGAAGGTGAAGAGCAAGCCACAAAGGCCCAGACTAGTCTCATTCACGACTCCGTCACCGCCGATGATATTGGAAACGTGGTCTCTCGGACTACAGGTATACCTGTCAACAAGCTAATGGCCGGTGAGGTGGAGAAGCTCATCAAAATGGAAGACACTCTACGTCAATCCGTTCGTGGTCAGGACGATGCTCTTTCGGCAGTCGCAAATGCAGTCCGCATGCAAAGAGCAGGGCTTAGCGGCGAAAACCGACCCCTCGCCTCGTTCATGTTCCTCGGTCCTACGGGTGTTGGCAAGACAGAGCTCTGCAAGAAGATGGCCGAGTTCCTGTTCTCCACGGAGACGGCTGTTGTTCGGTTCGACATGAGCGAATTCCAAGAAAAGCACACTATTAGTCGCTTGATCGGCTCTCCGGCCGGCTACGTTGGATACGATGACGCCGGTCAACTCACAGAGGCCGTGAGGAGGAAGCCCTACGCGGTTCTGCTATTTGATGAGTTCGAGAAGGCGCATCGCGACATCTCTGCCTTGCTCTTGCAAGTCCTAGATGAAGGGTTCCTCACGGATTCTCAGGGCCACAAGGTTGACTTCAGGAATACTCTCATTGTTCTAACATCGAACCTCGGTGCCGACATTCTTGTAGGCGCCGATCCTTTGCACCCCTACAAGGAAGGTGGTGAGAACGAGCTTGCGCCTGAAACCAAAAAGTCGGTTATGGATGTTGTACAATCGGCCTATCCGCCGGAGTTCCTCAACCGTATCGACGAATTCATCATTTTCAAGAGGTTGTCCCGCGACGCTCTGAGGGATATTGTCGATATCAGAGTGAAGGAGCTGCAATCACGTCTCGACGACCGCCGAATGATTCTGAAGGTTGATGACGAGATCAAAGACTGGCTTTGTGAGAAGGGATACGATCCCAAATACGGAGCCCGGCCCCTTAACCGCTTGATCGCCAAAGAAATCGGCAACAAGCTGGCTGATAAGATCATTCGCGGCGAAGTCACTTCTGGGCAAACTGCTCGTGTCACGTTCAATGCCGATAAGAGTGGGCTTGAAGTAGCAGCAGAAGCTCCGGTGACGACAGAAACTGAAAGTTCCTAAGACTCATTACGCACTTTGCTCTTTCTTATATTTGGGTATTCGGCGCTATTGTCTGGAAAAGGTGTTAAGATGATGACCTTGTATGACTTGATCTCTACTCTTACTCATGTATCATAGCATAATCAGTGTATCATAAGTGACGACTAAATTGTACATATTTACTAAAGAATTTCCATTCCGTTATTTCCTCGGTGTTGTAAATTTTCAGGGCTGTCACTTGATCTGGTAAAGTCATGCCGCTTTGAAGGCGTGTTCTCCCATGTCCCGCGCCTCATAGGATGAACCTCCTAGCAGACACTTGCTCAGTCTGAAAGCAGTCACCCATGCATTATGGAGCCACGAACGAAAAGAAAGCGTACGACACATCCCCGACATGTCGACTCTTTCAATCTCTCGTCCAATCAAGACGACTTTCCACGACCGATGACTTCAGGCAACTTGCCTCCCACTTCACAAGAGACACTAAGAGCAAGAACACTTACCTCTACCAATGCTGAGCAGTTTCGATCTGGTAGTGCCATGTTTGAGTACTCCATCGATGATGAGCTTGAACAAGTTATAGTGGCAGTGGATATGAGAGATTCGGGAACTGTCGGATGTTCCTACTATTCAGCACTGGAAGAGAAACTATACCTCCTAGGCGATCTACGCCACTCCAGTAAGGATATGATCGACACTTGTTTGTCTGACCTTCCCTGTTCTCATGCTTCGGCGACTAACGAGTCTGAAGTGGTCCTCCAGACGAAGCCTACTGTACTCTTGATATCTCCCCGTGTGGATCCAAACAACCTCCAAGAAAGACCATGGGATGAAAAAATTAGCAGTTAGCGGAGCATAGTTTTGCTGTTTTATTAGAATTGGACATCTCTGATATTTACAGATACACACTCCTATGTCCCCTACCAACTTGACGTCCGTCCATCGCAAGAATTCAACTATTCCAATGCAAAGAACAAACTGATTGCTTTAGAAATATCTTCAAGACATGAGCATCGCATCAAGTTCTTCGTGCCACACAGTGGGTTAGTTGACGGTGAACAATTAGATACTGAGAATCTGGACCTCACATTGCAGGAAGGCAAGCTTCTGCATGTGTCCGGCTCCATCGATATGGAAAATACAGTGACGATTGGATGTGCCGGTGCCATACTCGCTTATCTACAAAGGCGTCGAGCTTCCATGTCGATATTAAACGAGGGAGCCTCTAGAGTCTTCGGAGTATCATCCGTGGAAATGTTCACTCTAAGCGGATCTATGTAAGTCTTCATCTTCTTTGAAACAGTGAGGCATTCGTTTACAGCGAATTAGGTTTGTCAACGGCAGAACCTTACTTTCGCTCCAAATTATGGAATCTGAATCTCATCCCAGCATGGTGAATCAGGGCACAGGAAGAAAGTCAACGTCATCAAAGGAAGGGCTTTCAGTTTATGGTCTCTTCCAGCGCTTTGCATCTACACCACAGGGAAGAAACAAACTAAAGCAGATGTTCCTCCGACCGAGCGTGGAACTTGACGTTATCAATGAGCGAAATTCCTTCATCAGTGTGTATCATAGGGCTGACAACTTAAATCCATTGGACAAGCTGGTCAAGGGCTTGAAGCACATTAAGAACCTCCAATACGCGATGATCAACCTTCGAAAAGGCATCAGTACCGGAAGCGGGAAGATTATGGGGTTCAAGGCGACTGTGTGGGCTACTTTACTGGCCGTATGTCATGGCATTCTCATTGTGGTGATGTCCGGCTAATATGGCATAAGTTTGCTTTCTATGGAATTGACATCCAAGACGCTTTACGAGAGACTTCGTATGGTGCTAATTTGGCTCTACATAACAAGGTCCTCATCGGATTCGCTCACTCGAAAGTCGACTAACCATGTTGCAGGCGCTACGTGCTTTCGAGGCAGCTCAATTGTACAAAGTCGGAAGAATGATACAAGAAATAGTAAGTACAATACTCCTCACCGAAATCAACCGATTCTGACTATATCAGGTCGACATTGATAGCTCTGAGGAACAGGGCAGAACCGTTGTGAAACCTGGAATAGACAGGGAGCTGGATCGCATAAAGGACAGGTATGACGGTATGAATAGTCTTTTGAAGCAGGTTGCGATAGAGATAGCGACGACCATTCCCGAGAGCTACGACATAGATGTCAATGTCATTTACTTCCCGCAACTCGGTTTCAACATTGCGATTCCTCTCAATGAGGCGGGAGACGCCGCTTACAGGGGCGCCGAAGACGAGTGGGAACTCATGTTCTTCACAGAAAACAGAGCTTATTTCAAGGACTTCAGGATGAGGGAGATTGATGAGAAATTAGGTGACATCTATGGCATAATCTGTGGTTTGTCTTCGGTTTTCAATGCGCTATTGTGGTCAATGCAGCTGATAGTCTTATTAGAGAAGGAGATCGAGATAGTTTATGATCTCGCGCAAAGGGTACTTCAATATGAGACGGTGCTTTTGGAAGCATCAGATATATGTGGGCAAATAGACAGGTAAAAGATGGATGCCGACGATTGACGAGATTATCTTATTTGTGACAGTCTTCTTGCAATGGCTCAAGCGGCTAGCTTTTACAAATTGGTGCGCCCTAAGATGGTGGAAGGAGATGTTATCAAGATCAGAGGCGGCAGGTAAGACAATTGGCGCGTTAGCGTGGCCAGAGAGCTAATACAAGGGTAGACACATCCTACAGGAGCTTACGGTTTCGTCTTATGTGCCCAATGATACCTTCTTGGTTGGTAGAAGGACACAGGGAGAGCCGTTGGGGTCTCTTCACTTGACATCCAACCCACACGAAAGTGACTATGGACCAAGCATGCTACTACTTACAGGGCCGAATTATTCTGGGAAGAGCGTATACATGAAGCAGGTGAGCTCCTTCCCCGGCATCCATTAATACTAGCTAATGAAGTGCTATGCAGGTAGCTCTCATTGTCTATCTAGCGCAGGTGGGAAGGTATGTAACGCTGGTTCGAACGATCCAAGACTATTATACTCAAGGGTATAGCTTTGTGCCAGCTGAAAGTGCAGAGCTTGGGATTGTCGACAAAATCCTGGTCAAGTCAAACACTCAAGATAGCGTCTCCCAGGTATGCTGGTGAGTCGACTATTATACTAAGAAATCTAACTTGTGTCACAGATACAAAGTACCTTCATGAACGATCTGCAGCAGCTATCCTTTGACCTGAAGCAGGTAACCGGCCGTAGTCTGCTGTTGATAGATGAATTCGGCAAAGGCACCAATGAGAATGGTTCGTGTACCTGCATGTCCGAATAAACAGCTAGAACCTGACACTCTTAGACGGCATTGGACTGGCATGTGGAGTCCTCGAACATTTACTAAACCGCGAAGATGCTCCCAAAGTCATAGCTGCAACACATTTTCATGAGATTCTCGCGAACGGTTATCTCAAACCTAGACCGCGGTTACAACTCGGCCACATGGAGGTCCGTGTGCATGAAGAACCCGGTGAGGCTGAAGACCAGTTCACCTATCTCTATAAGTAAAGCGCCAACACTCGCACGACGGTCATTGGCAGGAGAGACTAAGACGCATGGCATAGTTTCCGCCTAGGACGAAGCGATCAAAGCTTTGGGACAATGTGCGTTCTGGAAGAATCAAGGATCCAGGTTTATGCTCTAACTGAGCACGATATAGATGTGCCGCGATGAACGGTATCAGCCAGACTATTGTCGATCGAGCAGACCAGATTGCCTCACTATCTGCTCGTGGTGAAAATCTGATTGCCGCTTGCGCTGTCCTTTCGGCTCAAGAGACGCAGGCTCTGGATGATGCAGTAAGATATACTTGTCTATCTACTTGTGGTCCCCCGGTTGAGAAACGAAAAGCTAACTGGTTTTGCTTCAAGGGAAGATTAGCGAGGGAGTTCTTGTCATTGGATCTGTCTGCGTCTTGTGATGTTGAATTGATGAGTGATAGGCTGGAGAAATTGTTCAACGGATCTGGTGCGGGAAGTTCTTGACTGCCAGCCGAGTTTATATATCTTCACCCGAACGGCTAATGGTCCACCTCAACGACTGTTATCGGCACAGACTACTGACAACTAGTATGAATCAAGCACCAGTGGTACTAATAGTACCTGCGTGGACTATCCGGTGCCTTTATGGCCTTCTTTAATTCAATGGTTTATGCTACAGCCAGTCTACGTTACTAGTGGAAGCTGACTTACAGCAATATTATCAACAGTCAGACAAAAGTTTGTATCATCGGGAAGAAAATTATCTATATACACACAAAGTCCCATTTTCGCACACATTGAACGCCCGTAATGTATGTCTCCAATTGTGCTACCGCAGTACCAAGAAACAGAACCAGAAGAACTAGAATCAGAGCTTAACACTCTTAACAACGTTCTTCTTGATACCCGTAAGTTCACCACCATATCCACCACGACCTTCACCACCCTTGTATACCTGGCGAATACTGCCGAGCTTCTTCTTCTTCTCCTCGAATCTCTTTCTCTTCTTGACACGAGGGTTGCGAGAGTCCTTGCTGCGCTTGGGTGCAAGACCTTTGTTCTTCTCGATCTGGTAGGTGATGGCACGCTTGCCATCGGATCCGACCTGTTCCTGGATCTCAACGTGACCGCCTTCACGAGCCGCAGCAGCGTAGGCCTCGGCGCGTGCCTTCTTGTCGTCCTTGCGCTGCTTGCCGCGAGCCGCGACCATGTCGTAGTAGTCGTCATCGTCGGACCCTTCGTCGCCGCGGAGCTGCTTGGCGACCCGGTGGTCTTCCTCGTCACTGTCACCGCCTAGCTGCTCGGAGTCCTTCAGTTTCTGTTTACCACGTCTCTCGGCTTCGGCGTTAAGGCGGGCTTGGCGGTCCCTTAGACGCTCACGGTAAGGTAGATCTGCATCACCACCTGCGTCACGACCGGCTGCGTTACGCTTGTTGGCTTTCTGGGCGAGTTGAGATGTGTAGAACCGGAGAGAGCGCTTCTGCTTGGCCTTCTCTTCGGCTTCCTTGGCTGTGAGAGCGTCTTCGTCACCGAAGTCGGAGTCGTCGGCTTCCTTGGTCGACTTGGTCTTCTGGGCGGCGCGTTTCTTGCTCGATCCAGAAACGAGCTTCGAGAGGTCGGCGAGGTTGGCTTCGGTCTGTCGGAGTCGCTCTGCTCGTCGTGCCTCTGCCTCGGCTTGTGCTGCTTCGGCGGCGCGCTGTGCCTTGGATACCTTCTCTGCCTTCTTCTTGTTCTTCTTGGAAGATTGCTCCTCGCCCTTCTTGCTCTTTTGCTTGGGCGTGGGTGCGTCGGCCATGATTTCGTCAACTTCGGAGTCGTCCTCGGCTTCGGATTCCTCCGGCTCGGGTTCACTGAGGTTCTTGACGGTCTCCCAGAGTTTTCTGAACTTGACTAGGGATCCCATTATGGGGTGGGCTCGTAGCTGAGCAGGCGATAGTGGAGCAGGCTTTCCGGAGTCGTCGGTGGAAGAGGTCAGGAGCATAAAGTACATGCCGATCGTACCAAGGTAAGCGGACAGAGCGCGGAATTTGACGACGGTAACCGGTGCGGATTCCGGAGCATCTTCGGAGTCATCGTTGGCATTGAAGCTTTGAGCGGCCTTGGCGAGGGCCTGATGCGTGGACTGGAGGTCGGCGAAGTCTTTCGCTAGGGGCTCGAACTCGGGATATCTGGACTTGAGTATCTTCAATTTCTCCTCTTCGCTCATATCTTCCGTAATCTCCAGTTGCGGGAGAACCTCTGTCACCTCACCGCCATCCTCTGCATCCTTCTGGTCCTTGCCGGTTTCGACCCATTCAGATTCGTCGAAGCCGAAGTCTTCCTCATTGATGGCCTGCAGATGCTTCTGCTGAAGTCGCTTAGCTTCCTCCTCCTCTTCAAGAGCGTCTGCTTCCGTTTCGATCTGATCCGCACTGTAAAGATCCTTCTTGGAAGAGCCCCAAGCGGCGATACCTTCTTCGTCGTCTTCAGATCCCGGACTGCCGCCGCGCTTCGACTTGGATTTTGACTGAACACCATCCATGTCGTCCTCATCGTAGTCATCGCCTTCGTCAAAGTCTTCCTCATCATCAATATCTAGATCATCCTCGTCGTCCTCGTCATCGTATCCCATGATTTCTTCATCCGATGCCTGGAGAAGCTCCTCTAGAAGCGTATCCCGTTAGTTAAAACATACACACAGCATGCGCCTTGTGCAACCAACCTTCCTCAGCCACCCTCCGACGTCTCTTTGCTTCCGGCGCCTCTTCCAGCAGGATCTGGTCGCGACCGGTCTGGAACTCATCCTCCGAATCATCGAATCGCTCCTCAATGTGGAATTTGTGCGGGCCATGCTTGTCCGCCTTGGGGGCCGCAGGGCGGCCGCCAGCCTTTCTCTTTTTACCCATGATAAATTGTGTATGAAGAAGTGAGAGGAGGAATTGCTAGTACGGACCAAATCCTCCGCAGCGAATCGATAAACTTTCGCAATAAAAATTTGGGAGGGACATTCTCACCGCCCGGAAGACACTAGTCCCCAATTGGGTGTTTGCAATGTTTGGTGGGCCCATGTTCCGCGGAGGATCGCGCCTTCCTATCTGGAACTATCATCTTACTTAAAAAGCAACAAGAATACCGCTTCCTTCTCCCCTCATCCGCCATTGTCCCAGAACAGGAAGCCTCGAACAGCCCCAGACACTTGTCTTTTCTTTTCTCTCCCCCAAAGTCTTTTCTCTTTCTTCTTTCCTATGCATCCTCTGATACCCACCATCTTCTACGACTCTTCCCCGACGACGCTGGGAATTTATACCATTCTTTGCGGACTATTCCTATACTCTGCTAGCAAAATGTTCGGATTCGGTCGTAACCAGTTCGTCGTTCAGGGCAGGGTATGTTTCCATTGTTCCCTCTAACTTCTTGCCTGTGGCATAGTCGGCTAACCTTTTCTTTAGACCGTTGTTATCACGGGAGGTTCGGAGGGGATGGGCAAGGCCGTGGCTTGCCAGCTTGCCGAGAAGGGTGCCAATGTTGTGCTCGTCGCACGCACGGAGTCGAAGCTCCAGGATGCCGTTGAGACTGTCAAGGTAAGTCGACGTTTGGTCTCAGGGTGAATTTCAGCTAATTCATAATGTTCTTAAAGGGTGCCGCGGCTGAAGCCGAGCGGCAGAGATTCCACTACATCTGTGCAGACCTGACCAATGCTGCCGAGTGTGACCGTGTCATGGCCGAAGTCACCGAATGGAACCACGGACAATCCCCCGATATCGTATGGTGCTGTGCAGGATACTGCAGTCCCGGCTTCTTTGCGGAGACCCCCGTACAGACATTGAGGGACCAAATGGATACGGTGTACTGGACAGCTGCCAACACTGCTCATGCAATCTTGAGACGGTGGCTTGTACCCATTACTCCCAGCCAGCAAATGCCGCTACCTCCTAGACACCTCATCTTCACATGCTCTACCCTCGCATTCGTGCCCATTGCTGGTTATGCCCCTTACTCACCTGCCAAAGCTGCAATTCGCTCATTGTCTGATACTCTCAGCCAAGAAATTGAGATGTATAACGGTTCTCGCGCCGACAAGTGCCGCTCGGAGGCTCCAGCTACGGACGTCAAGATCCATACCGTCTTCCCCATGGGCATTCTCAGCCCTGGATTCGACAACGAACAGAAGCTCAAGCCGGATTTGACCAAGAAGCTGGAGGCTGCTGATAAGCCACAGACACCTATAGAAGTTGCAAACATTGCGATCAAGGCCCTGGAGAGGGGTGAGTACATGATCACCACGATGTTCGTTGGCGATGTCATGAAGGGATCAGCGCTCGGAGGCAGCCAGCGGAACTCCTTCATTAAGGATACGTTCACTGGCTGGCTCAGCAACTTGTTGTTCTTGCATGTGAGCCCCGATCTCAGGAGGCAGGCCTGGAGCTGGGGTGAGAAGCACGGCGTCCCTGGTCGCCGGAGAGAGTAATCGATGGGGGTCTTGCTATGCTTTGTGTGTCGTCGTTTGGTGTATGCGTTAGATACCCTGAGCGTGCCTCTTTATCCTTATGACCATTATTATGTTCGCCTGGAGTATCATGTACTGAAAATTCCCGATTGATCATTGATTTCAATATCATCATTGTTCCACTGTCTTTACGTTCTACTTTGACGGCCAGACTCCATAGGCTGTACTGTAATCTCGGAGCTCGGAGCAGGGATTGAATCCTCTGTAGAACGGAAAGGCGTAGACCGATCGGGATACACTTGCAACGAACGAAGCCTTTGAAGCTACTGGTAGGTCTGGAACCTCCATCGAATGCTTGGATGGGTCCTTTGTCCGCCGCCGAAAATAGCCGCAGAGTTGACAAAGCGAGGCGCCATTTTAGGGCTAGTGGGTCGTGACGTCGGGCGGCTGCTGCAGGCACTTTGCTCTTCCATTGTTCCTGCGGCTGGCTTTCACTTCGACAACCTCAAAACTTTCTTCTACTTTGCGCCTTTGTCCCTAGTCCCACTATATAAGATGCGCCTGCGAAAGCATGCAAGGGATGTTAGATACTAAGATCCCGCCGCTAGATCGTTATTCTTCAGAACCCTCAACAGCTTCCGATCGCCGTCGACACCATGAATCGGGTCTTGGCTCTCCCAGCTCTGTTCTTCTGTCTCTTCACCTACACCCCCTCCTACACCACCTTTAATTTGATCTTCTTTTATATGACATGGACGACACTCATCCTGTCGCATTCCCCATTCAAGGTTGAGCTGTTCGGCTCCATAGGCGTGCGACTGCTGTTCTATATCTTCCCCTCGGCGCTGCTCTTTCTATTCGATGCGCTTGTCCCCTCAGCCGCCGTGCTGCTCAAGGCGCATGGTGAACAGGGTCTCCCGACTGGAAGCAAGCGACGAGGAGTCCGGGGTCGAGAGCTCAAAGTCGTAGGATGGTCATTCCTCAACATTTTCATAAGCATCGCCGTGCAAGCTACCATTGAAACTCTTCGCATCGGGTATTTCAATACGCGCAGTGCCCTCAAAGTATCCTTCTCGATCCCGATCATACCTTGGAACATTGCCTTCCACCTCGCCTGTGTCCTACTACTCCGAGAGGTAAGTTCTGTCTCGAAATGTTTACACTCCCAATGTTGGCGATCAGCCGCAACGACATTCACTAATCACGCGCGCGCGACTCCCAGATCCTCGCATACACCATCCACCGCTTCATCCTCCATAACGACAGATACCGCATCACGCGCTACATCTCCTCCCTCCACCAAACCTGGTACCACTCGCTTCACGCGCCCTACCCTTCCACCGCCCATTATGACCACCCTATTCCCTACCTCCTCGGTAATGCCGTCCCCACATTACTCCCCGCCGTCTTCCTCCGCCTCCACATGATCACCTACGCCATGTACTTGAGCATCGTCTCGCTGGAAGAGACTCTCGCTTACTCCGGATACTCTGCCATGCCGATGGACTTCTTCCTCCTGGGCGGGATCGCTCGCCGAGTAGAGAAGCATCTTTTGAATCGCGCGGCCGGGAATTTTGGCCCGTGGGGTATTGCGGATTGGTTTTGTCAGACTACGATTAGCGAAGAGGAGGGTGAAGCGCTGATCACCGAGACAGAAGATGAGGGCGATGAGCCTACGCCTGTTCTTAGGGAAAAGGAGATTTTTGAGGCCAAGGTGCAGGAGGCTTTGGACTCGCATGCTAAGAAGACACAGAGGAAGCATAAGAAGAAGTTGAGGCAGTTGTTGTGAGGCGGTGTGGGGAGATATATATTATGTTGTTAAGTATATCTTTGGTGTGTGGGGTTGGTTGGTTCATTGTTATGTGCTTATGGATCATGTATCTTATGAAGTGATGCTATTTCTGATGTTATTTGCGTGCTATGGGTGATCTTGTCTGGCAGGGAGTTTGGTTCGATTTGGCTGGGATTGGTCTGGTGTTTCATAGAGGAGCTGCTATCTATCCAGTATTTTTTGGAATGTTATCGTTATCAGTGTGAATGTGAATGTGCATGTGGGGCTGGGGTTGCATTCGGAATCGCGGCAATGTCTAGTTACCAATAGATAAGTGGTAGCAGTAGTCGATACACACACAAAGTATACTACCTAGTACTATCATACCGTCATGTATCATAGACATGAATGATCAACTACAACTTGATCTACCCCGGAAGAATAGTAGTGGATCGTCGATATAATAAAAATGCCCAATTCTTTTGATATTTTTCCGCCCGAACCTGATATTGAAAGATATTGGAATAGTCGTAGTGAACAGAGTGTAGTAACATAAAATTGAACAGCTGGAAATGGTATTCTTCTTTTTTTCTTTTCATTTCGGCTCAAAGTTATCGACTGCAAGAAGGGGGGGATTGTGCAAACGGCCAGAATTGCTGGAGGAAGACAGTTCAGTTTTGAGGGGGAGATCAAGTATGAAATAACAACCGGTTTTTCCTTTCCTTTTTTAACCTCGGCATTAAAAAAAACCGCAATCCTAAGCAAACATGAGGCTCGAATCGAGTTACATATACTTCATGAGCTGTTTCCTCCTGCGACCCCCCTTTTCCTTTTGCAAGTGCCGGTTGTGGAGTTCGACCAGTTGCTTGCAAAAGATTGAAAAGGGAGTTTCTAGCCGCCGCCCCTCGCAGGACTCCTCCACAATAACTACCGAACCCGCGGCCGCCGCGTCACACATCTACCACTTCATCTCGTGGGGCTTGTCGCCGTTGCGGAGGCTGAAGGTGCTGGCCAGGTAGCTTCCGAGGAAAGCCTCCTTCTTGACGGAGGCGAGGATGGACTGGTCAACGGCCTTCTGGTCGCTAGCGCGAGCGCTGGCAACAACCTTCTTCTGTTGATTGAGAAAAATCGCTATATCAGTATTCATCCGGCCACTTCCGTATAGGTTGGACTCCTCTCGGAGGAAGAGCCAAACCACGGGTGTGTATGTGCACATACCTGGGGCTTCTCTCCCTGCTTGAAGAAAGCCTCCTCGGTCTTCTTCTCAGCCTTCTTCTCTTTGGTGAAGTAGTCGGCAGCGGAGACCTTCTCGAGGGTCTGGGCGTCAACACCGCTGATGTCGATACGGGTGCTGGTGGCGATCACGTAGCGAGCGTTGACACGGCGGAGGGGGACACCGTTGATCTTGAAGGGACCGGTGACGAGGAGAACACCCTGCTCGAGGTGCTTGAGGAGAACGACACGCTTTCCACGGAAGCGGCCGGCGAGGAGGATCAGAACGGTACCGGGCTGGAGGCTCTCGCGGACCTTAGCGGGACGGATAGCCTTGCGGACCTATATGTATATAAAATAACCATGTCAGAATGCCTGTTCCAATTCCTTCTTGCCCATTTCGGATTCCGGGGCCCCGATTTCTCCAAGATGCGATTTCCTTATCAACTCATGCGGTATAGAACACTGGCCCTGAATCTTTGACTTGTCCTCCAAATCTTCCGCTTTTTTATAAAAAAGTTCAATCTTTCCCAATGACCAGCGCAAACCCGTCGCATTTGTTCATAACGAAACCGCATCTTTTTCCATCTCATTTTCTGGCTCTTGCACAGGGTGTGGTACTGACTTTCTTGGGCTGCGACTCGTCATCAACGGGGTACCATTTCTGGGCCTTCTGGGCCGGGTGAGGGACGGTCCTCTGGCCCTTTCCAAACTGCTTCGTCTGGCCAACAGTAGAGTCCGACATATTGGCTGCTGGGGACGAAGGTGGTCTGAAAAGAATGTAGGGGGAGGGTGGTGGTTGTCGACGGCGGGTGGTTGTTGGAGTTGATGTGTGACTTGCTACTTGCGCCCCAGGACGGGAAAGTGTGAGTTTGTGTGGACGCGAGCCCTAGCCGAAAGGCGCTAGTGCCGATTCGGCGCCCCTTTGATAGCGATAGCCCGATAACCGCTGCTTTTGTGGCCTCAGGCAGAACACGTGTCTTTTTTGCCGTCCGCCTTTCCGGCCACCCGTAAATACCAATTCCGCAGAAACCCAAGCTCCCTCCAATCTTCATCACGTTACCTGCCGACTTGTTTGCGGGTGACGAACTGACGTACATTACTGCTTCAGCAGCTTCTTCCGTCAATCCACAACCTACAGTTTCTTTGCCGCATCGTTGGTGTGCGCTTATCATCAAAGTTCTAGCTTAGAGAATCTGTGTATATTTTCAACAGTCTTTTTTGCTACCTTCCCTTAGCCTACGCCATATTACACCATGTCTATAGCTCCGATCATTACCTTCAAAGCGGGTATCTGTGACCTCGAGGTTAGTTGAATATGAAGCTTCCTCCCACCCGTCACTGTTTCATTGCATCTCTATCAACATATTGCTTATCGAAACCTTTCTCTGATAGACGTCCGGTGAAACCTCCGTCGTCAAGCCCAAGCCCACCCCCGGTTACATCTATCTCTACTCCGAAGATGAGCTGGTACACTTTTGCTGGCGCCCCAGATCTGCTCCCCACACGGAACCCGAGCTCGACCTGGTAATGGTTCCCTCGGATGGTTGCTTCTTACCTTACAAGCCTGTCGACTCTACAGCACCTACCAATGGTCGTATCTACGTCTTGAAGTTCTCCTCCAGCTCCCAACGGTACCTCTTCTGGCTACAATCCAAGTCTCAGCATGAGGACGGAAACCCGAGCTGGTTCAGCCAAAGAGATCTTAAGCTAGGAGAGATTGTCAACGGGCTGCTCCAGGGTGAAGATGTGGATGTAGAACATGAGATCGCCAACCTTCCCCGAGGCGGTCCCTCGGGCGGCGATGACGACGAGACTATGGAGGATGTCGAAGGCGTGGACCATGACCCGAACCACAACCACGGAGGGAACAGTGGAGGAGCAGGTCCGGATGCGACTGGCGGTGATGTTCGGGCGGAAGGCCAAGGATCGAGGGAGGGTGGTGCCGATGGTGGAAGAGCGTAGGTACATATCTCGACAGTTTTATTTGTCTCTAGTCTTGAACTTTACTAGCCGAGATATTCAATATGCTCGGATATTTTGGTCACGATTATAGGCCTTCCCCTTCATGGATCCAAGCTAACTAGCATTCTTGGCTCACAGGGCCGCCGCTGACTCGGATCCTTCATCTGTCGTGCAGAGCTTCCTGCAGTCGCTGCATGGGGGCTCGCGGCAATCCCAAGACCCCGAGAGACCTTTCACTACTCTGCAAGACCTACTTACAACCTCGACTACATTGCCCTTCTTGGAATCTGCGGACGAACAAACGGTTGACAACCTCCTGAGCTTCCTGCCGCCGTCGCTGCTTCTCCTAGCGCAGGACAATGACCTCGAGGAAGCCGCGGCAGCTGATCAGGACCCGGACATCGCTCAAGCCGCCCTGGGATCGCTCGAACTGACGCAAAAGAAGGAGATTCTGCGCAAAGTTCTACACTCACCTCAATTTGCGCAGAGTCTAGCAAGCTTGACGATGGCGATCAGAGATGGTGGATTACCGAGCATCAGCGAGGCTCTAAAAATTCCGGTTGCAAATGGAGGATTTATGCGTAGAGGAGGGGTTCCATTGGGTGGTGGTGATGCTGTTGAGGCATTCCTCCAAGGCGTTCGGGATCATGTTAAGGATTCGGCTGAAGGAAACCGTATGGAGACCGATTGATTGGGTTCGAAATAGCAGTGATTATGTTGACAGGGTGCTTATTTTCCTTATCTTTCTTACTATTATTATCTTCAGCCAGCCATTCTGTAACTATCCACTGATGTTTTAGAAATCCATTAGCGGCCTTGCATGGATGTCTCATCCCCTCCTAAGCAGAGAGAGACTTGTCAAGGGTTATTTTTGGCATGAGGTGGGTGGGGTAAGAATAGCACTGGTCGGTAGGCAGCATGATAATACTGGTAATATCAATACCGTTAATAATAATGTGTCTGGTGTGGCGTATTGGCGGACTCCGCCCGTTAATTTCAAACTGAATCAAGAATTAAAAAAAAAAAGGAAAAAGAAAAGTACGTAGGGCAAAAAAGTTTCCGACTTGATGATCTCTTCCTCCACCGAGGCAAAAGAGGTGGGACAGGTATCAAAGGAATTGCCGTATCGGGAGTGGACATCAAGCGATCCCCATCCTAATTCTGTCAGGGACCGAACAAAGCAAGTCAAGTCAATGTCAGTCATCCGTACTTAGATTATTACTTAAATGCATCATGGGGGGGAGGCGCATAATTCCCCTCCCGGGCGCAGCAGGGGGGAAAATCCCAAGTCAAGCCCCGTTCCAAAGCCAGAGCCCATCCATATCCACCCTCAATAATTGGCCGTGTGTCGAACGAACTCGACCCGGACCATTCATAAGGCTCGGACGTTTAGCAATCACTGGGCCAGAGAACCTGGCCAATGGGCCATACAGAGGCCGCCGCTGCCGAATCCGCCCCAGTTTTGGCCGCTTTGGCGCCGTCCAGCCAAAGCTCCGCTGCGCATACCGAGCAATAATAACCATCACTGTGATCTGGAAGTCGACACGTTTGGGTTCCTGTCCCCATCATGCCCGCTGCTTCTTGACGGCTGCCTGGCTTGATTGGATCCTTACCCACGTTTCCGCACGGGGTGCCACCGCTAACTTAACCAAAGTTCGTCAGCCCTTTCGTACTACTTTAACTTACTTAGGGAGTCTGTCCCATATTTTCCCCGGCGCGCTTTTACTTGGCCTCTGTCGTCAACGCTCCCCAGGGCCCTTCTGACCTTCTTTCTTTTCTTCCTGGACAGCCTGCGATGTCTGCCTTCGGTTAGCACTCTGACGACTGCCCACCATGGCTTCAAGTAGCCATGACCGCGGCCCCGACGACGATAATTTCCACACCGATCACTCAATCCCCTTGCAGGATCTCTCATCGCCAGACCATGAACGTGGAGGTCCAGCTGGTGTTGCGACAAGGCTGGGCCGGTCTTTGACCGGTAGGGGCCGGACAGGGAGAAACTATGAGCGCATAGCGGTGGATTCGCCCGTTGAAACGGCCAATGCGGCGGGCAATGCGCGCCCGCATCCTCACATTTCCCATGAAGAAGATGAAGACGCAATTGAAGATCCGGGGGCATTTGCTCAAGCGACTTCGTTCGGTCTCAGTTTTGACCCCTCGTCCAGTACCTCTCTTGCCCCGACGCATAGTCGAGCACCCTCCAGCGTTGACCTAGATACCGTGCCGCTCGACGGAGCCGAACACTATCTCGCCCACATCGATACCTACAACGACACCGCACGGTTGACGGAGACACAAAATGTCCAGCCCATAAGCGGAGCATCCGGCTCAGACAATGGACACCAGAATGATCAGGGCGGTACAAAATCGGTTCAATTTCCTGATACCAGCCATTCGGGGTCACGATTGGGTGACGATCTACACAATCTGGAGGGTGGTTTCGTGGGGAGATCCCGCGGAGGAAGCAATGCAGCGGACAGGTCGCGATCATTGTCCCCCTCGGCTTCCGGATCTGCCTTGATGCGGGCCAGTTCCATGATGAAGTCGATGTCCCAGCGTATTGTCAACCTTAGTAACGAACCTGAAGTGGTGGAACAATCGATCCTCAGGGAGGAATCGCATAAGAATGCGCGAATGGAAGAGCCCCCGGCACTGCCATCTTTGCCAGACTATGCGCATGATGCGCCGTCTACCAGTTCATTGAACAGTTCAGCTCCTGGAGAGAAATTGCCCTCGAACAATAAGGCATGGCGCGGCATTAGCAACCCTCTGAGAGGGAAATCGCTGGGTATTCTAGGCCCAGATAATGCGCTGCGGATGTGGTTGTGTGATATACTCGTCCATCCGTTCACGGAACCCTTTATTTTGATTGTGATCGTGGTCCAGACTATTTTGCTGACCATTGAATCTGCACGCTCTGTCTGGAAATTTCCCCGAGCTGTCCGTTGGGGAGCAAATCCCATGGATTATCCTTACTTCGCCATCTTCATTATTTACACGCTCGAGATTATCGCTAAAATCCTTGTGTCAGGATTGATTATCAACCCTGCCGAATACAGCACCCTAGACCGGTCGATGGGATTCAGGAAAGCAGTTGTTGAGAAAGGGAAGAACTTGATTATACCACAGCGGCAGTTCTCAGTGCGGAAGTCTGCCATGTCAGAACAGCCCCAGGCTTCCATTATACGAACCTTTACGGGCGGGTTGAATCAATTGGAGAATCAATTGGCCGATGACCCCCTCCAGAAAAGTCGCGTGCGACTAGCCCACCGTGCCTTCCTACGACATTCGTTCAATCGGCTTGATTTCGTCGCCTTAGTATCGTACTGGGTGTCGTTCTTCCTCTCGATTTATGGAGTCGAGACTCGCCAGCAGCTCTATGTGTTCAGCATGCTGAGCTGTCTTCGTATTCTTCGTCTCCTGAATCTGACCAATGGTACTTCTGTAAGTTCTCTGTTGAATACACTTAGCCAAGTCGTTTACTGACATTCGAGGCAAGGTTATCCTGCGCAGTCTCAAAAAAGCGGCACCATTACTTGCGCACGTAGCGTTCCTTATCGGCTTCTTCTGGCTTCTGTTTGCTATCGTCGGCATCCAAAGCTTCAAATCAAGCTTTCGGCGAACCTGTGTCTGGCTTGGCGTTGACGGTGAAAGCGATTACGCACAGAATGATCCAAACGGCTCCTTACAATTTTGTGGAGGCTACGTCAATTCGACCACTGGACTACAAATGCCTTGGCTTCAGAAGAATAATACTTTCGGTTCGTCTTCTCCCAAAGGCTACATCTG